CTCGTGTTGTTTGATCAGTGGTTTTGATGTGATGCAATAACTCCCTTCCTCCTTCTGTCTGAAGACGGCGTTCTTCCGCCAGCATGGCTGCTCCACAAACGACACCAACGCCAAGTATAACAGCCGTGCAGCCCAGATGTACAGAGAGAAGATCCGGCAGCAGGCAAATGCTGCGTTGTCTAAATATGGCACAGATGTGAGTATCAGTCAGGGGGACAGTTTGAGGCAATGAATCATATCGTGTGGCAGTAGACTGGCTGTGTTGGTAAAGCTACAGTGCTGACACCTTTTTTGTTTATTATATTCATCCGAACACAAACAACTACACTTTTATATTTCATTCTATGGCAGTGAAAGACGTAACCTCATTCTCTAGTGATTTCTGCCATAAGTGGGTTTAAATCGGCCCGTTTTTAACTTTATTTGACTGTACTTTATTTATCCTAAGTGGAAAAAAGTGAGTTAGTTCTCAGCCAGAGAACAGACACACTTAATGAACCCTCACGTGACCCTGGAACGAACAGTACGATCTGTGTATCCCGTATCTTCATTGTACACTCAGATGTCTTTAAAATAAAGCACAAAAGCCTGAAATACACTTGGAACACATCGGAAGTTTCTAATCACAGAAGTTTTTAAATCCCACTAATATGTGACTGTTACGTGAACACAGATACACTCACAGTCAAAATATGAGAAATGAATCGATATCCTGTGGATCATTGACATATTACGTAAGAGTGGTGAAGTGATTATCCGTGTCTGAGCTGTGTTGTTAGCAGATCTTAGTTCAGAGTCTACAGAGTGTGCCCTCATCGCAGTATGATGATCACGTCACATGCAATAAACCACCGCAGTGTCTCTACGTCTAACAAGCACTCCTCCTCCCCGTGTTGCAGCTCTGGATCGACTCCTCTACAGGAGGCACGCCTGCTGTTCCTGAGAAGAAGGAGGCAGACTTTTTTGCAGAACTTACACAGGTTTGTTTGGTTTTCTGCAAAATCATGCCATCAAAAAGCGTCAAATACATAAAAAGGTTGCCCACAAAAACTAATAAAATATAGAGAAATATAATCTTCATTAAATGAAGTAGTGTCTGGTGTTTGCACGCTTGTAGTAATTAATATTATGAACATGTTATGGTGTTGCTGATTTAGTCAGCGTTTGTAATTGATTAATCTGTAATACGCTAACATAGACTGCTATCCCTGAAATGACCTTTAAAAGTTTGGTGCAAATGTTTAATTTGCTTTGATTTCAGTCATTTAAAGGAAAAAAGACCTGGTTTTATATGTTCCTGTGCACTTACTTGAAAATATATCTATCTTGGATTGTTATTCTTTCAGCCTGCTAATGACTGGAACATGGCGCCGCTGTCCGAGCAGAACGGAGCCGCTGTCACCCCACAGCTGACGGACACGACGGCTAAAATCCAGGATGACAACCGTTAGTAAAACAAACGCACACGTTTCTCACATTAACGTCAGTTCACTCATACAGAGACATATTCTACTGTGATGATGTTATAGTGATGTCTTCAGGGTTATTGGGCACAGGTAGGAGAGAGACTGCGTTAAAGAGTCCTGATTTAAAAGGTTTTCTTTCACAGTCCGAGGTTTGGCTGAGGAGGATTCTGCTGTATGTGACAGGGTTCGGTTGCAGCAGTGTACCTGAACATTGATGGTTATCAAATCGTGTTTATTTGCTTCTCTACGTTATTCTACAATATCACTGTCAAACTGTGAAAACCTCCCACCGTTGCAACCCTAAATAGGGTTTATCAGATTGATATTTGATTGAAACCGAAGCCTGAGGTGATGAAGACCAGTTTAGATGATTAAAGAAGCTGTGAAATAAAAGTGAGGGATATTTTGTTGTGTTGCTTCACATGTTTTTCGTCCTTTCTAGAGCCAGAGGACGGTCCCAGCATCGACGGCCTGAGCACCTCACCCAAAGCCTCCATCGGTGAGTCGTTGGCGTGATTCAGCTCTGCCTTCTCTGAGAATAAAGGCACAATCAGTCCCAGCTCTTATGTAACTTACTGTCACCAGCAATTTCCCTCATTCCTGTTTGACATTTGTGCCCATTCAGAGGGTTTGCCCTACAGCGTCTTTCCATCTCTGTGTCTGTCTTTATCTGTGTGTGTCTATGCACAACTATTTTACTGTCACACAGTCACTGTATATAAACACTGTATTCATACAACATTCAAAGAGTTACAAAGTGTTTTACCTTCTAGATAACCCCGCACAGACATTTTCCTCAATAGTCACACACCCTTCTTTAATCCTTTGCAAGTGCAGAGTAGTAATTATCTGCACAGTGATGAGAAAGTACATGCACATAAGTTGTTATATTCATTATTCTGTGTGAACATCATCAAAACATTCTTTATTTTTATTGATAAATCCGCTGATTGTTTTCTAAATTAATCATAATGATAATAAAAATGGTTTACTTCTATACAAATGATTCATATTCACAAAAAAATAACATAAATGCAAGAAATAAG